CCCCCCCCCCTCAGGAACAGTTTTCACTTTCGTCTTATTTTACCTGTGTTGACCTCTGAGGAACAGCTCCATCTGCAGAGGAGGTAACAGGTTTCGAATTGGAGTTGTTACCCTTAGAATGGCAACAGCTGGAATAAATGCTGAGGTCCTCGGGCAGGGTCGCCCTTGGTTTCTCCCAACTATACTTCTAGCTCTGTACCTTTTTTTTTTTTTTTTCCTGTTGTGACCTCTAATGCGCTAATGTTCTGTCACTCTCGTTTTTAATCTCTACTTTTTTTTCTCTTTCTCTTCGTTCAGAGTAAAGAAAATTCATTTAAATAATTTAAAAAGTGAGCTTCCTCGTCGTTCTCCCTCCACTCCCGAACGTGCGTTTTTTGCGATGCTCTTGATGCTCTTTGAACCTCCAGAGGAGCGAGGGTCTGTCCATGCCGTTTCAGGGGCGGACACACTGGGCCCACAGAATAGGTTCAGGGCCTCGGGGCCTTAGGATGCATTCTCTGCCGCCAGCAGAACTAGGCTCCCTGACCATCTGGCTGCTTCTGACCTCTGGAACTAGGGACTGGGGAAGGAAGGCACCACCAACAGGGCTCCTTCCGCAGACCGCAGAACCTCACGCCCCAGGAGAGCCAAGGCATGCTCCGCTGGAAGAAGTCAACCCAGAAGATGAGGCTGGAGGGACTTGGGGGAAGATGTATGGAAGAATCGAGTGGAGAACTTCCAGAAAGTTCAACAGGTTCGGGCTCCAGGGAGCTTTGACCTGGACAGTCTGTGATAGGGATCGAATCCTGATCCCGGGCTCCCTGTGAATGGGTGTGGGAGCTAAAGGAGATCAGCTCCCGCGATGTGAGAGCGTGAAGACAGCGCTTTGGGGATAGTAAGTCCTCTGGGAGCACTGGCCCCAGGCCCCACCTTGCAACACCTAGAGCTTGTGCGGCCCAGTGAATCCCCGCTATGACCTCGCCCTGGCTTGGGTTGGGGGTGTTCTTTGTGGTCGCGGTGGCCGCCAGGCGCCAGCTCCCAGAGGGTTTTTTTTTTTTTTTTTTTTTGGACAAAGGTTTAGGGGAAAATATTTGAAACCCAAAACGAAATAAACTATACAAATCCGCTTAGCTTTGGGGTGGGGTGATGTCCTCGGAATCATTTCTCTTGCTTGAGGCCAGGCCACTGTGAAATTCCGGTACTCGCGTGCGGATGAACTCGTGGGAGCCAAGAGTCCTGAGAGGAGTACTTGGGAACTGGAGCTCTCCTGTGAAAGGAACTTCCTCCTAGGAAGAGGAAGGGGTGCATCCTGGAACTCAACCCAGCCAAACCATAGGGAATATCCCCCACCCCTAGCGCAGCAGCCTCGCAGTTCTCTTGATCCTCTTCCCTGGTGTTCACATCCCCACAGGCCCGGTATCTACACCTTTTTTTTTTCCCCACGCCTCCGAAGTTGGGGTGCTCATAAGGCGTTATGCCCAGAGGCCGAATAAACCTGTCCTGGGCCAAGGTCACTATACCCACACCTCAACAGGGCAAGATGCTTCTGCCCAGCTTCCTAGACCACTTGGGGCTAGTTCCTCCTGATTTGAACCTCCTGATTTGAACCAGAGGGCTGCAGGGGCATGACCCACATGAGGTACTACCTGTGGGGAAAGTATGCTTAGGTTGAGGCAGCAGGGGCTACCTCACCACCATCATCACACACACAACTTAATGTGGCTTCACACCCATACACAACACAGCAAGCATGATCTCACAGCAAAAGTTTGGACACACCTACACACACACACACACACACACACACATATGCAGCGAGTCCTGGGGGCACTCTCACCTATGGTGCTGCCTTCCCACCCACGGTGCCCCTTCAGAAAAAGTTTGACCTCACAGCTCTCTCGCTCTTGTAAGCAAGTTCTCCTGGAATGACCTCACAGCCTGACGCCTACAGACTCCTACCTCAGGTGACTGCACACCCATACTGGCATATCCTCACGCAGTCTGCCCTTGCTTGTCCATGGAGTCCCAATCCTGCCCCTATGGCTGGGCCCCTGGCAGAGAAAGTCATAGACCTTCGGGACAAATACCGCGGAGAGCGAGGGCTGGTCCTCACGTACTTACTTGCGTACATGTCCTCCAAGCTCAGAATGATTTGCTGACACGTCTGCTGAGCCAAGGGCCCAGCCAAGAAAATGCCCCCAACCCTACTCACGAACAACCCATCCATCCTCCACACCTATGCCCAGGCAGTGGTGAGGTCCAAAGAGATGACTCTGGAGGGTACCTGGGGCGAGGCTGGGGCTGGGGGCCGGAGGATAAGGATTTTTGTGTCGCTAACTAGGAGAAGGGCTGGGGGCACCGATGGGGGACCTGGGAGGCGTTGACTTTTGCGCTGTTTGCCCGCGGCCTCGGAGCAAGCAGACGCCATCTGTTTGCCGGCTGCGACGCGTCGCGTTTAATTACCCTCCCGGCAGCCTAATAGAGATGATATTAAACTAAATCTTTCTGACATTAAAAGTAATTATCCCCAAACCGGTGGCTCCGGGACGGAATTGCCCCTCCCGTCCCTATCCCTTCCCTAGCCGGATTCCGTTAGTTTGGCTGAAACTCTTCACCCGGGAAGGGGGCGCAGAGAAGAGGCGGAAAGCGCCTTTGGGAGAAGGAGTCTCTGCAGACTGCCCAACTCACATTTCCCCCGCACACCCAGACTCTCCTGTTCGTGTGGCTGCACACACGTGTACACAAACACATACACACAGGACGACATCGTTTTCCTTCAGACCAACTCACGAATTCCGCTGATTAAAACCTTTGGCCAAGCAGACCCCTGGGTGGACAGGGAGGAGGGCAGCCTGATTTGGTGTCCCTGTCGCGCTAAAATGGCCCTTTCCGTGGCCAAAGCCACAGATCCAGCCTAACCCAAGCCAGGGACTATGTACAATTTCGGGGTCAGAAAGAACCCCTCTTATCGTGGTGCTGGGCTTTTGGCACGCTCCTCTTGTGAGGGGCCCTGTGCCTAGCGCTACCCCTACAGTGGCTTGATGAAGTCGCACCACCCTCTAGGAGGCAGGTCCTATTATTTCACTTGTCAGGCGAGAAATCCAACTCCGTCCAGAGGTGAGGTGACTTGTTCCACATCTCACAACCAGTACGGAACGGAGCAAAATTCGAACCCGGGAGTATCCTACATAACGCCAACAATCTGCTTGGTTCCGGGCGCGGGCTCCTGCTGTGCGTCGCGGACCCCAGCTTGGCCTGAGGCCCTTCCCCGCACCCGCTGGGCCCGGATGTGACCGTACTCATCAGCTTCACTGGCCCTCCACTCCCAACGTAAGGAGCGAGCAGAGGGATCAACTGAAGGTGGGGGATCCAGGACATTGGCGCTGAGAGCGTGGCAGGAACCCAAGGCTGGGCCCCAGCCGCCATAGCTCTTCAAGCCTCCGTGACTGCAGAGTACGCGCAAGGGAGGCGGCTGGCGAGTGTCGCCAGGCTTCCTATCTCCACAACCTTCCATTTGGGAGTATCTGAGCACAGGACAACTCTTGGATAGTGATGTTTATCGTCCATCTATTTGCGTCTGTTTTTTTGTTTTTTTTTTTAAGCGCCTACTGTGTATTGCCACTCTGCTAAATCTTTGGTGTGTGCTGTCGTGTTTGGCACACAATCCTGGGGGAGGTGCGACGTTCTATGTTTCAGACCTGAGGCAAACAAAGTTCTGCAGGCAAGGGGGTCACAGTGCTGCTGAGCCTTGAGAAAGACAGAAATCCATACCCAACTTCCACA